TCGCGAAACATCTTAGAGGTAAAATTTGAACCTTGATCGGATTGAATTATTCGGGGAATCCCCACCTGAGAGAAAAAATTTTGCAAAGCTCGAACAATGATGCGAGAATTAATTTTTCTCAAAGGGATAGCCTCCAGATATCGAGTAACGACATCCATAATTGTAAACAGATATTGATTCCCTTGTTTAGTCCTGGGTAACGGACCAACACAATCTATTATCAGGCGTGAGAAGGGCTCACCACTGACGGGAATTGGAATGAGGGGAACTGGTTGTTGCAACCCCTGAATGGGTTGCAATGATTATTATGTATATATATAATTATTATCTTTTCATATAATTTTATACTGCTTATATTTGCGATAATAGCTAAATTGTGAATATATTGCTTTATAATATTATTTGACGTAGTTATGTTGTTAGGTAGGATGTTACATATTATGTGCTCAGTTCAAGTCTTGATTGTCTAACTACTGTAATTATCGCTTGTGGCTCGTTAGACTGCTGGCTTCTGTTTCCGAGCTGCAGCTGTCCATTGAGCTATCACGTGATCAAGGGGGGGTGTCCTCACCTCGCCTGAAGTATTCAGTCTGGTCTAGACTCGCTTGGTGGTTGGACAGATTGTCTGTCTCATTATTCTTGTTAGTTCTGTAGAATTCTGTTCACAGAACATTGTATAGACTTAGTGATTTTCGACGTTGTACTGAGGTTGTGTGTCGCATAGACACTCTGAGCAGCTCAGGTCCTGAGCTGTAGCTTCTGACCTAACTTGTACTGGTATCCGTGTATTATATCACAGTCGGGGATTTTCTTATGCTGAACTTAGATTCAGTAGTATGGGAGTTTTGTGACTCTTGTGGAGGATCTGCTGATGGTCCCTACTTAGTGTCGTTATATTATCTCCTTGATCCTGATTGTGTCGCAGTTGCTTGTTATATTGCTATTGGGCTTAGCATTCTTTTTATTGTTCAAGCAGATTGTTCTGATTGCCAGTTGGTCAAGAAGTTAGTTAATGTGAGGACTGTCAGTCACTTGTTTAAGTCTAGTCGAGTCGTGAGACATAGCGAACTACTTAGAGCACTTACACACATACACACAAACTTACTTGTACATATTTGTAATATCTTATTAAATGTTAATGTACCAGACGGTACTTAAGAATTATAAATGTGATATGTGCTTTAGCACAATAATATTGTACTTGAGAGAAGTGATATTATTTTGATTACTGTGATTAATTTAATTTAACTTAATTTGATAATATACCTCTAGACTTAATAAATTTATTAAATTTTAATTTCTCTAGTTAGTAGCCTACCAGTTGTAATCCTGAAGCACTATTGAATCATACTGAATTCTAATGGATAATTGGACAAGGATACTGACTACTTGTTACAAAAACCCAGTAACAGGCTGAATGCTAGAAGAGCAGTCCTTTCTAGTATTCACTGGAGATCTCTAAGCTTTTAGAATCGCGTTTTTTGTAACAAATGGGGGGGCCTGTCCGGGAGGCTCTTGATCCAAGGTGTTGGAGAAATTGTCCAGTTTGACATACTAGTAATTCTATGGTCAAACACTTTGAGTACTTTCCTAATCTGAAGACTTTGAGTTTAGTCTTGTACAACATACCAAGTGGATTTATGTACCTGACTGAGTCTCTTGATCCAAGGAGATGGAAATACTGTTTATGAGTTCTAGCTCTAAGACAACCAACACTAAAATTCCTATTAGGATTATAGTTTCCCATAATCACTCTCTCGTAGTACATTTATTTTCGTGATGTATGCCAAAGTGAAACAGTTAATTGATACTCTGACTTTGTCTGAGTTGAGTACATTAAAACTTCAGACGTGTTGGCGAGTAGCCAAATATCTCGGTGTGACGTATAACAGGAATTACACCACAGAAACTGTCAGAGCGTTAATTAAAGATATATTGTTTCCTGCTCTTACAGAGATGTCTGATTATGATTCAGATTCAGAAAGCCTAGTGTCACAATTAGGAAGTATGACTCTATTTGATGAAGTAGAAGAAAGAGCAACTAAGGCAGAAGTGAGCCTAGTGTCTGAGCCTAGTGTAGCTCAGTTCTCGCTCACTCCTTCCCTCACTGACACAATAGTACAGAGTATACCTGGCTGTATGACACAGCCTAATGCTAGTACTGTGTATGCTACACCTGTATCTACTTACCATAGACCAGATCTAGACTCTCTAGGGACGGCTGGACGAAATGTCCGACCTAAGGACTGTCCAGACCACGTTAGATTCCTTACTCCTCCATTACCCTCTGGTCCTATCTCTCAGGAACAGTTTGAGAGGTTAGAACGTCTCATTATGTTGCAGACTGCACAAATAGAGGCACAGAGGAAATTGAACGAAGAAGATTTCCAAAGAGAAAATGTTCGTCTTGGATGACAAGAGACTGGTAGATCACAGGACACATTTAATGTGCAGAAAGCTGCATCCATGGTTTCTAAGTTTTTTGAGAGTGACTTAGACACCTATTTTGATGTGTTTGAGAACCAGGCACATGCTATGAACTGGCCACGTAAGCACTGGGCTACCTTGTTGCACACAGCTTTGACAGGAAGAGCTCAAACTTGTACCGCTGCTTTACCATTTGCCAAGTACATTAGTTATGACGCTGTCAAACAAACTATTCTAGAGACATATAACTTGTTACCTGTAAGTTATCAAAGCGCATTTCGTACGTTACAACGACGACAAGATCAAACTTGTGTAGAGTTTGCTCGTGAGAAAAAAGTTGCCTTTGAGAGGTGGTGTAGGTCTGCCAAGTGTAACAACTACGACAGCCTTGTTCAGTTGTTACTACATGAAGAGTTTAACAACTGTATGTCTGCTGACATACAAGAATATCTGATCGATCATACTACCTCGGATATTCTGGAAACTGCAGCATTAGCAGACAATTACGAGATTTCTCACAAACTTGTACGTACTAAAACACAAAGAAACAAGGTAACTAAAGATTGTCCTAGAAGTTGGCAACCTAAATCAGCTGCTCACTGCCGGCCTGATGTACCTGCTACTGTAACTTCTCGTACCTTTACCAGGAAAACTCACAATCCTGAATCTGTCTCTGTGGCTAGACAGAAATCTGATATTGAGAAAAAGAAAGTAAAATGTACATATTGTAACAGAAAAGGCCATGCTAGAGAGTATTGCTATAAGTTAGAAAGAGATACGAGAAGCAGTCGTGCAGCTGGCGCCCCCACACAAGTCGTATCCTCTTCAGAGCAACAAAGACACCAAAATCCTAGTAATACCTCTGATCCTACTGTTTTAGATAATATTACTCAGGACAGATGACTAGCGTCAGAAAGTGTATCTGACGAAAAGATTCGTTCAGCGATGAGTCCTTACTTTTCGAGAGGTAAAGTAGGATTTGACGAATCACTTCTAACTGACGTAATTACTTTCAGAGACACTGGCAATTATCTCATGTTATTGAGAGAAGATGTACTGCCCATAACTGATGATACCTATTGCAAGATAGATGTATTGTTAGTAGCCTATGGAGGGGCTGTTATAAAAGTACCTTTGCACAAAGTTTATATTCAAACAAGCTATTATATTGGTTATATTTCAGTGGGTATATCCAGTGGTGTATTTCCCATCAGGTCAGTGGACTTGTTGATAGGGAACGATATCCTTCATGCTGGTATATGTAAAGAACCACTTGTGATTGATAATAACACTGATGATAATTATGCCATTGAAGCTTGTAGAGAGAAGCCTATTTTATTTCCTCTCAGCACAATTACTAGAGCTATGTCAAAGATTCAACAACCATCCTTGTCTCCTGTTGAGTTAGTGGATGACAATGATTTGGGCTTGAATATGTTGTTTAGTGACGCTCTGCGCCCAGGATCATTAACACCAACTTCCCCGTGTCTTCAACCTAGTCAGGACACTACTGACGTTAAATTTCTAACTCATGATGATTTAATCAAGGATCAGTTTGTTGATCAGTCACTGGAAAGACTGAGAGATATAGCACTTACTGAGAGTGAAGCAAAGGATCTAGATAATTATTACTATTATAGTAACGGTGTACTGATGGAGAAAAATACATGTAAGTTGTCAGCTGATAGTGTTTCCACCACAGTCAAGCATCTCGTAGTGTTACCAGTTACATTTCGTGAACAAGCCATTGATTTTGCTCACAATAGTCCCATAGGAGGACATTTGGGTGTCAAGAAGACACTCGGTAAACTGGCAAAACATTTTACTTGGCCTAAAATGAAGGAAACAGTAGCTGATCATGTGCGACATTGCCACGTGTGTCAAGTGACAGGCAAGCCAACATACACACCTCCACCTACACCTCTCACTATGTTCTTTAGTAGCAAAGTTCAGTTCATCTGGACTAGACATTGTTCAGACTCGTTTAAAAGGTTGAAGCATCTGCTTTCCTCTGCTCCAGTGTTGAGTCCTAATTTCAATCTTCCCTTCTTTTTACATATAGATGCGAGTGGTTATGCAGTGGGCGCTGTGTTGCTCCAACAGTCAACATCCACTGACATTCTCCATCCTATATGTTACTATTCATCTAAACTTAAACAACACCAGAAAAATTATGCCACTATTGAGAAAGAGGCTCTAGCTCTTGTGGTGTCCTTGGAACATTTTGACGTGTATTTGGGCACTTCCCCATTTAAAATTAAAGTTTTTTCAGATCACAATCCACTCACTTATATTAACACTATGAAGAGTAAGAATGCTAGGATCATGAGGTGGGCACTCAGAATCCAACCTTATTCTATTAGTATAAAACACATAAGTGGTCATTGTAATGTAATTGCAGACGCTCTGTCACGTCCTTAATAATTATCAGTTACATTAAATTAACGTAATTTTAATGCCCAAATAACTTTTGTTACTTGCTATGTCAAATTCAGTAAAGTAACTTAATCCCTCCAGCCCATATTAACTATGTATACTCATGTCTAATTATTATATTTATATATTCACAATAGTGATGAGATGTGTGTGAGGAGGAGACAGAAGCTGAGTGTTGAGTGGGTAGTGTTGTGTGGGCGATGTTACTGCGTGTGACGCAACACTGTCCTGCCGCAGACCCCCCCCTTCACTACACACCTTAAGCTGTTTCATACTCAGATGTCCATACTGCATAGCATTCCACAACCACTACTTAAGAGTGGAATGCAGTCTCCACTACTATGATCGAGCCTCAGCGTGCCCTCCTTGTCTGCGCTATCCTGTCTCTACACTGATGTACATAACCACGAGTATGCAGAGATACGATACTGTGTACTGACCTAGTACTAGGGGCATATCTTAGTGTATAAACGCTGTGAAATTATAGAAGTGCTTGGCACAAGAGTGACTCTGATTTATGTTTATATTAATTTGTATTGACATGAGTAATCAGTAATAATGTGAAAGACAATGCAACTCCTAGTGCGACCGTTTGTCGTGTTGGGGGTTGTTGCAACCCCTGAATGGGTTGCAATGATTATTATGTATATATATAATTATTATCTTTTCATATAATTTTATACTGCTTATATTTGCGATAATAGCTAAATCGTGAATATATTGCTTTATAATATTATTTGACGTAGTTATGTTGTTAGGTAGGATGTTACATATTATGTGCTCAGTTCAAGTCTTGATTGTCTAACTACTGTAATTATCGCTTGTGGCTTGTTAGACTGCCGGCTTCTGTTTCCGAGATGCAGCTGTCCACTGAGCTATCACGTGATCGAGGGGGGTTGTCCTCACCTCACCTGAAGTATTCAGTCTGGTCTAGACTCGCTTGGTGGTTGGACAGATTGTCTGTCTCATTATTCTTGTTAGTTCTGTAGAACTCTGTTCACAGAACATTGTATAGACTTAGTGATTTTCGACATTGTACTGAGGTTGTGTGTCGCATAGACACTCTGAGCAGCTCAGGTCCTGAGCTGTAGCTTCTGACCTAACTTGTACCGGTATCTGTGTATTATCACAGTCGGGGATTTTCTTATGCTGAACTTAGATTCAGTAGTATGAGAGTTTTGTGACTCTTGTGGAGGATCTGCTGATGGTCCCTACTTAGTGTCGTTATATTATCTCCTTGATCCTGATTGTGTCGCAGTTGCTTGTTATATTGCTATTGGGCTTAGCATTCTTTTTATTGTTCAAGCAGACTGTTCTGATTGCCAGTTGGTCAAGAAGTTAGTTAATGTGAGGACTGTCAGTCACTTGTTTAAGTCTAGTCGAGTCGTGAGACATAGCGAACTACTTAGAGCACTTACATACATACACACAAACTTACTTGTACATATTTGTAATATCTTATTAAATGTTAATGTACCAGACGGTACTTAAGAATTATAAATGTGATATGTGCTTTCAGCACAATAATATGGTACTCGAGAGAAGTGATATTATTTTGATTACTGTGATTAATTTAATTTAACTTAATTTGATAATATACCTCTAGACTTAATAAATTTATTAAATTTTAATTTCTCTAGTTAGTAGCCTACCAGTTGTAATCCTGAAGCACTATTGAATCATACTGAATTCTAATGGATAATTGGACAAGGATACTGACTACTTGTTACGAAAACCCAGTAACAGGCTGAATGCTAGAAGGGCAGTCCTTTCTAGTATTCACTGGAGATCTCTAAGCTTTTAGAATCGCGTTTTTTGTAACACTGGTGGAGGTGTGTGCAAAGGTTTGCCTGTCACTTGGCAGACTTGACAACTTTTTAGATAGCTTTCCACAGTCTCCTTCATTCTGGGCCAATGGAAATGCTTGGCTATTTTGCCCAGCATTTTCTTTACTCCCAAATGTCCTCCCATGGGACTATGGTGGGCGAAACTAATAGCTAATTCTATAACGGTGTTTGGTAGCACTACTAGATGTTTGCTGGTAGACTGATGATCGTCGGAAGACAAAAGAGACTTTTCCTTTCTCATTAATATACCATTAGCAAGATAGTAACAATTGTCCAGGTTTTGGGCGTCGTCTTCTGTAATAGCTATCTCTCGTAATTTCTCTAGCATTTTAATATCAGAATCTTGAAAAGGGCTGATCATAGAATATTTCAGATTTGAAGATCTGGGTTTTAAGGATCACCTGAACAATAAACCGAGACCTAAATCCTCGCCTTCACATGGGATTTCACTTGACAAAGGATTTTGAGGCGCTCTAGACATAGCTCTAGTTATAACATTGAGAGGAAATAAGGTAGGAGCCTCTTTTCGAGCTTCTATGGCATAGTTAATGTCAGTAGAATTATCAATAACTAGAGGCTCTCGGCTTATACCTGGATAGTCTAGATCATTGCCTATGAGTAAGTCAACGCCCTGAATAGGAAAAGTTTCACTGGATATACCTACCGACACAAAGGCAGTATAGGTTGGTGTTTGGATGTATATCCTGTGAAGAGGCACTCTTACAATGGCACCTCCATAGGCTTCTAATAACACATCTAGCTTGGTGTGAGTCATATCACTTACGGGAAGTATGCCCTGCTTCAATAAGGTTAAATAACTTCCAGTATCACGGAAGGAATTAACTTCAACTAACTGAGCCTCGTCTATCCCAACTTTCACTTTAGCAAAGTAGGGACTCATAGCCGAGCGAATATCTTGTTCTGAAATAGCTCTAGTATTGAGTCATCTAGAATGACTACTGATTCGCTCTTGCGAACCTTGTTCGGTACTAGGGTTCAGTTTCTTTTGAGTTGTCGATGAAGATATTACCTGAGTTGGGAAACGAAGTCGCTCGTTCCTGGTATCCCTCTCTGGCCAATAACAGTGTTTCCTTAACCCTTTGAGGGTCGACAGGCCCTCTCCGAGACTCGTTCTCAGGGTCGGCCAAATTTAAAAAAAAAAAAAAATTTTCTTATGAAAAGATAGAGAATCTTTTCCCGATCATAATGACACCAAAAATGTGAAATTTGATGGAAAACTTACGGAATTATGCCTCGCGAAGTTAGCAGTCTCGGCGATGTTTACAGATCGGCGATTTTGCCCACTTTGAGCCCCATTTTCAGCCAGTTCCACTGTACTAGTCGACAAAAAACATGAATATTTCGCTAGAACTCCATATTTTCTATTGAATGAGTGCAAGAAACCACCCATTTACCAATTTCAACTATCCAGTTCACTGGTCAGAATTAGCAATTTTGCCAATTTCACACAAATTTCAAAAGATGCCAATTTCCGATTAGGGTCCAGAACAAACAAGAAATACATTCCTGGCACTAAAATGAAATTTCCTCTGTTCATTAGTCACGTCTCAAGGCCCCTCTTACATTCTTTTGCTTTCCACTTTGAATTTTTATTCTCACAAAAAATAGAAGATTTACTGTTATGCAGACTACTGTATTAGTGCAAAAAAATGGTATGAATCATATTGGCACACTTGCAAAAGAATATTAGACTCGCCAGTTGACGTGTATTGGACGCTTGGCATGATTTGTTTACTTTTGAACTTTGGTGAAAATCGAACATTTCTGCTACTTTGAGCTCAATTTCAAGGTACTTTTCATTGTAAAACCAGTCAAAATCATCTCAATTTCTATGATATGCCTTCCATTCTATAAAATGAGACCAAGAAAACTAGAATACAACAATAAATACCATACGAAAATACAGTGCAAAGTCGCTGTTTTATTCCAAAAAAACGGTCAAAGTTTTTTTTTTCTCATTATGCACTGTGTGCTGCAGGATTTTTTTTATACCGTGCACACTGACCACATAGACCCATTCTTTCATATGGAGGCCTACCAGCTTTCTCCCACTAGATTTGAGGGCGCTAGAATTTAGGCGTACTAGTATGTCAAAAACCCTGGGTCGTAAGCCGTACTAGTACGTCCGAAACCCTCAAAGGGTTAAATGTCCTTTTTTATTACAATAAGTGCAGTTCAGTTCACTGTTATGCCTTAGTGGTTTTGAACTCTTCCTAGAGTTAGATCTAAATTTATCATTAATGGGTGTGGAGGCAAAATAGGAGGTCGGGCAAGGATTCTGTATGCGACTTATCTCCGTAAGATTAGATCGTTCTTTCTTAGGGGCATATTTAGTCACTGTTTCCTTACTTTTTCTTTCGCCAATCAATTGTTGAGATATTTCATAATTATCGGCGAGTGAGGCTGTTTCTAGTATATTTACTATGGGGCAACTAATCAAATACCTATGCAAGTCTTCTGGTAAATTATTATAGAAATCCTCATGCAGGATCAATTGGGAAAGATTTTCCATAGATTTACAGTTAGAAGCTCTACACCATCTCTCAAAAGCGATTTTCTTTTCACGTGCAAAATCTACATACGACCGAGTTGGCTGGCATTTTAATGCTCTAAAGGTTTTTTGATAACTTACTGGGAGGAGATCATAAGCCTCGAGGATAGCCTTCTTAACGGAATCATAATTCACATACTTCTCAAAAGGTAACTTAGCCGTACAACTTTGAGCTTTACCAGACAAAGAAGTATGTAATAAGGTTGCCCAGTGTTGTCGGGGCCAGCGCATAGCTCGTGCCTGATTCTCAAAGACTTCAAAATAAGTATCTAAATCTCCATCATTAAACCTTGGAACCATAGATGTGGCTTTTTGTATATTAAAAGCATCATTTGAGGATTCAGTACATCTTTCACTCACATTACTTTGTTGTTGTTGTCTTATATAGCAGAGCGTTTCCCTTTGAAAGTCTTCTTCATTTAATTTACGTTGAGCCTCAATTTGAGCAGTCTGTAAAATCAATAGTCTCTCTAATTTCTCAAACTGACTTTGAGAAATATGCCCCGACGGTATAGAAAAGGAGGGAATTGAACTGGCGGTACGTGGATATTCCTTTGGACGTGCACCCTGGTGAGTGACAGACTGACCATTAATAGGAATTCCTTCAGAAACGGGCGAATGCAGAACAGCGGCTGCACCCTGCAATACTTCATCTACTTTACTAGAAGCCAAAGCAGAACCTGATCTATCGGGTTCAGTTTCAAGATCAACTCCTTGAAATTGTTCTTCTAATTCTTCGAATCTCGACTGGTAGCTTACTTGAGAAACTAAACTTTCAGAGTCAGAATCTTCTGCTACATGATCATCAGAGGCCCCCAGAAACAATTTGTTTCTAATTATTGCCCTTACGGTATTGGCTGTGTAATATCTATCGTATGGTACTCCCAATTTACGGGCTATCTGCCAGCACGTTTGAAGTTTCAAGGAGTCCAGCTTTGATAATGTTAAATCTTCAAATAAATGTTTAATGTGATCTTCCATGATCAAAATTTTGAAATTAACTAAAGACAATTTCCTAGTATATAGCTTTAATATTGTTCTTTTGATCAATGTCTTAGAACAACAGAGATCCCGGACAGGTACCCCATTTGTTGCGAATAAGAAATTTTATAAAGAACTTCAGAATGTGGTCTGTTACTATTTTCTTCATAGGCAACAAGATTTTGGATCAGTTAGTTAAAGGTATTTTAGAGTCTAGGGGAAATAATTTCAAATGGGAAAACTCCATAGAATAATATTCAAATTTATTAAAGTATTTAAATACGTACAATACTTTATCTTTTCTCTGTACCTAATATTATATCTTAATACTTTGTACAATAAATTTACAATATACATATTTAGTTCAAAAACATTTACGTCTTTGTCTTAACAAGACTGTGTAAACTCAAACTACAAGATGTACAAGATTCAACAAGACCTTTGAATCCGGCCATAAAGGAAGTAGAAAGCAAGAGTTTGTCTGAGAAGACGTATCTCTATGGATTACTGAACTGACCAAGAATATAAATATCAAAACAATCTTTCAGAGCAATGAGGAACCAATTATGAGTCAGCTCTAGAGCCTAATTCTCAAACCCATTCAAACTCTACACCCTAAGAGAGAACCAATATACGATCAGTTGTCAAGGCTAGAGCAGGGAGCGGACTGACTACCTGCCAGTCTGTTGACCTGTCATCAGGTTGGATCGCCTGACCCAAATGTCAGTCAGCCGGACATAAACAATTGAACAATTTACCTGATGGTTCCGAGACTTGTATGCTCTATATACATAAGAAATCCTACCTAACAATAATAATAATAATAATAATTAAAATAATAGTGATAATACCATGGTATTTTTTATATATTAACATATAATAATATAACGCCGAAAGTCTCTATTTTAGTTATAAACGGGGACTTTCGCGCTATTATATTAAATGATGATCATATTCTCTTACAATAGTTAATATCACAGGATGACCAATTTCCAAGATATAACACATGTCACCGGAGGCACACATCAACCAAATAACTGCTGCAGCATACGGGTGCCTGGCAAACCTGAGAATAGCGTTCCGATACCTTAATAAGGAATCGTTCAAGACACTGTACACTGTGTATGTTAGGCCCATACTGGAGTATGCAGCACTAGTCTGGAACCCACACCTGGTCAAGCACGTCAAGAAGTTAGAGAAAGTACAAAGGTTTGCAACAAGGCTAGTCCCA